TCTTCACCTCCCCGGCTCCCCACCCTCCACGGAGCCTCAATGGGAGGTTATGCCCATAATCGCCTTCCGCTAGGACATAACCCCAGGGATACCGTTAATCCTAGGAAAAGGAGGTATAGTCCCCACAGGTAGCTCCACCATACATCGAGCATAGCGAATATTCCCGTCTGGCTTCTACTACCTGTGAGGCTCGCCCAACCAGCCCTCTGACGGGATGGCACAGCCGATTGACCGACGCTGGGCTAGGCGCGGCCGCCCTTCTAGACTGACCGCCGGACCAAAGTGGCGTGTTGCCCCCCTGACTGGTAGGGCTCAACCACCAGGATTCCATTGGCCAGCTTACGGGTCGCCGGGCACGGCACAAACACCCGGGAGGCTAAGAGGAAGCCCCACGCGCCGCCTCAACGCATGGAGTAAGGAAAGGACAAGGAAAGTCGGGAGGGCAGCGGCAGCTGCACAGGATAAATAAAAGGAGAAGGATGGGAGAAAGGGGGAAGGAAAAGCCCAGGGTTTGGCAGAATGAATAGACTACCAAGCCCCGAACTCCCTGCCTGGGGCCGTGGAGGCGACGCTCCCCATGTATCTTCCCTTGAAACCGGATCAAAGATCCAGCTTCAAAAGTAGATACCCCTGCGGGGTATTATTATTATTATAACTATTATTATTATTATTATAATTATTATATTATATAATATAATTACTATTATTATTATTATTATAATTATATTATTATTATTATGATTATTATTATTATTTTATAATATCATTATTATTATTATTATATATAATATCTTATTATTATTATTATTATATTATTATTATTATTATTATATTATTGTTTTCATTCAATCATCTCCTCTGAGAGGGTTTGATATGCTTAATCCAGGTTTGCACCAGAGGATGTAAGCATTTTGAAGGCATACCAATTTTGCAGGTTACAATGTCGAGTTTTCGCCTGCCAGGACCCTACGGACTGTTCTGCATGTCCCCAGTAAAGCGGCTTTCTGAATTTTTTTGTAAACATGTTGGTCAAGGTCTAACTTTTCAAGACTTGTGTGTAACTTCTTAAGGACCTCACCTGTTGCGCCAATAACTATCGGTACAATCGTAACTGTATTCATTCCCCACATCCGCTTTATTTCTTCTGACAGTGGTAGATACTTGTTGATTTTTTCTGAGTAGGTACTTTGAAGGTTGACAGGGAGCGGAACCGCGATATCTATAATGTATGTTATCTTTTGCTCTTTTAACGTTAGCACTATGTCAGGGATGTTGTTTGGTATTGTGCGGTCTGTGATTATTTTCCTGTTCCAATACATTTTGTGTGACCCAGTCTCTTTAACTGGAGGGGCGTGTAGCGATAGTATGGCTCAGTAGGTCCTTCATTGAGATAGCGCTTGACCAGTTCCAAGTAGATTATTTTTGCCACGTCGTTATGTCTTTCTAGATACTGTTTTGGGGCGAGTGTGGAACAGCTTGCGATAATGTGGTCTAGGTTCTCGTCTTTACCTCCACAGATTCTACATTTGATATTGTCTATATTTTCTCCCATTATTCGCTTTCTGTAGACTTTCGTAGGCAGCACTTGGTCTTGAATAGCCATCACAAACCCCTCTGTCTCCACGAACAGATTACTGGAACGCACCCACTCTTGGGATGCTTTGGTGTCTACTGCTGGTCTTCAATTCGCGTTCTATAGCGTCCATGTAGTGGCTTGGATTTCCACTTCTCGATCAGTTCGGGGGGTGATGACACCATCGCGGATGGATTGAGAGCTAGGTTGGCTAGGTTCAGTGGGGTAATGCCCTTATCTCTGTTGGCTAGTGCCTGATGTATTCTGCTACTACTCGCCTTTTCCAAGAAGTATGTCCTTAGATTATCAATTTGCTGGTAATGTCTGGACACCATACTGGGGATTCCTCTTCCTCCTTCCTTCGCGCCCGTGCTAAGTGGAAGCGCTCTATTGCACTTTTAGGATGATGCGCCCTATACCGACGGAATTCTTTCCTGGTACTTATATCTAGGGCTTTCAGCTCAGTATCAGTCCATTTGAGTATACCGAAAGGTGTAGGTAAGCGTTGACGCTGCGTAGGCGTTCACTGCAACAGACGTATTTATAGCAGACAATTCTGATTTAAGAATGATCCTTAATCTTCTCAAGTATTCGTCGGTAGATCTTTGCTTCGACGTTTTTTGGTCTATGTCTGGTGCCTGGAGGTAGCCTAAGTATTTGTAGCGTTCATCCCTTTGCATATTGATGATCTCTCCTTGCGACCCTCTTACTTTATACCCTTCATGCTCTGTCCACTTACCTTTAGTCATGCAACTTATGCGGCATTTATCTAAACCAAACGTCATTTGCACATCTTTGCTAAATCTGCTCACACAATCAACAGCGCATGTAGGTGATCCTTCTTCTCTGCAAATAATTTCAGATCATCCATATACCAAAGATGAGATAGTTGTGTACCATCCTCGGCAATCTTTACGCCTTTTTCTTGACTGTTTAACAGCGATGTTAGTGGGCGTAAAGCTAGGCAAAACCATAGCGGGCTTAGAGAGTCGCCCTGAAAGATCCCTCGTTTTATACTGACTTCTCCAGCATCTATCTGCGAGTCTGGGGTGTTAAGACAGAGACGCGTTTTCCATTTGGACATTGCATAGGTCAATAGTTTCACGATATGGTTTTCTATGCCATAAAGGTGTAGCACTTCCGTTAACCATGAATGTGGAATACTATCAAATGCTTTCTGATAATCGATGTATGCAGTGAACAAGGGCGACTTCTTTTTTCTGGCACTACCCGTTATTATTTCATCGATTATCAGTTGTTCTTTACATCCTCTTGAGCCCTTCCGACATCCCTTCTGTTCCTCATCCAATAAGTTGTTACGTTCCAAATGATTATGTACTTTGTCAGCCAATATAGCAGTAAGGAGTTTATACGCTGTAGAAAGGCAAGTAATTGGCCTGTATTTTGCGGGATCAGCAGTATATTGTTCAGTTTTTGGGATCAGGTATGTAACTCCTGTTGTTAGAAATTCTGGGATAGTTTCCGGCCTCTCGAGGAATGTTGAGTAGCATTTCGCAAGTTGTTGGTGGGTGGAAGTAAATGCCTTTATCCAGTAATTGTGAACACCATCTGGCCCTGGAGCTCTCCAATTGGAAGTCCTACCTATTGCTTTCACTACATCATCCTTAGTTATGGTCCAAGACAGCATTGCTTGTATGGAAGTTCTAGCCTTCTCTTGCTGATACCAATGCGCTGTTCTGTGTTCTCTGGGGTTGCTCCATATACCGCTCCAGAAGTGTCTTATGTCTTCTGTGTTAGGAAATGATGTTTTTCCTTGTAGTGTACGATCTGATTCTTTGCCCACAGATTTATAAAATGCTCTCTGATTTCTATGAAATAGGATGTTTTGTTTACGACGTTGGCTGCTCTTCTTATATCTCTTCACTCTTTGAGATAAGGCTAATAGTCTCTGCTTTAGAAGGTCCAAAACTTCGACTATGGTTGGGTTTTCTTCAGATGTATATCGTCGCATTATTGTGTCCCCTTTCTTTTTCACTCTTTGGCTGTATGTCGGTTTTTGGTACTGCGTTAGGATAGCTATATCGCTCCTGATATTATCTATGTTCTTGCTTAGCCTCCTTTCCCAAGCTGGCTGCCTTTTAGTTCCGTTCCGACTTGTAACATCTGTAGGTCTCTGACCGTTTAGCTTTAGAACCGCGAACGCCCCAGCATAGATCATGGCGTGTAGGTCCTTAAAATCTGTTTGGTCGCTAATATCAGCAGCGATAATTCTGTTCATTTCACGTAGGTTTTTAGCTGCCGTTGGGTTGCAAAATAGTTTGGGTAGCCGAGGCTTTTTTGTCGGATCTATACCGTCATAGCTCATTATGATGGCTCTATATTCCTCCTCCAGCACTGATGGCGAATAGCTTGGCGTTTCAGTCTGAGCGTCATTTGCTTGCTCTTGACTCTGCTGTGCATCATTTACCATGCCCAATTCGGTTGCTACTTCATGCCTAATTGTATCTATTCTCTCCGCTGGCAATCTGCTGTTCACAAATATAGATCTGCGCTGGTCTAGGATGTTCTGCAGTGTCTTTTGTCTTAACTGGGGAAATTTTTCTGTCACTAATTTATGCAATTCAGCACCATAAGGTTCCTGTGAAGTTTGCAATTTGGTAATTCTATAGTAGCAGCGAACCACGTACTCATTCATTTCTGTCGTCCAAGTGGTTCTCTGCCGTCTACTATGGGCTGGTAACATGGGCTGGGGCGATGCGTCCACAGCAACATTATTACCAGCATTGACCGCTTGGTGGTGTTGTGTTAGGTCATTCAGTGAAGTATTTGTATATGTGGTGATGTTGGGGGGATTTCGCTGGATGACGACCGGGTGCGACCTTCCCCTACGCTCCCTGCCGGACGCGGACCTCGTCGCATAGCGACGAGTCCCGATTACGTCGTTACATTCCGAGGCTTCATTTTGTTCCTTCTCCATTTCTGGGTAATTTTGTTCTCTTTTTATAAGTAGGTGTAATTGTTTACCTAAAATGTTGAAACTCAGGCGCGGAAGAGAGACAAAAACCACGCATGGATAAATGGAAGGCGTGCTGGCCGTACTGACTATCCTTCGGTGTTAATATCAGTAGCTTAACTGTTGGGTTAAGGCCAGACGTTGCGCTGCTGGCTGTACCGTCTACGTCGTTACGGTAGCGGGTTTGAAACTGCTGGCGGCAGTCCCCTTACCGGCCAGACCCATATTATTAATAATTATAGTTATTATTATATTATTATTATTATTATTATGATTACTATTATTATAACTATTATTATTATTAGATCGTTAAATTAATTAGATTATTATTTATTATTATTATAATTATAGTTATTATTATTATGATTATTTTATTATTATATATAATTTTGATTATTATATTATAATTATTATTATTATTATTATTAGATTGTTATATTATTATTATTCTTATTATAACTTCATTATTATATTATTATTATAATAACTATATTACTATTATTATAATATAATTACTATTCTTATTATAATTATAATTATATTATTCTTATTATGATATTATTATTATTATAATATTATTATTTTTTTTTTTTTTTTTTTTTTTAAGCCCACAGCGGCATCGACTGCTAAGGCCATTAGCCGCTTTCCTCCTGCCCATATGGTCAATTGCCACATTCACCACAGGGGTAAATCTGGGTGATTCGGATGTTATGTGATGTAGCTCAGATTTTTTTGAATACATAAAAAAGAAGAACAAACATATAAAATTAACTTATTACAGACAAACACAGAAAAAAAAAATGTAAATAAGAATACCCACATACGCGTGGGTACCCTGTATTTACTTACTTATCCGACACCAGTGCTTCCTTATCTATCATAGACCTACAGCTATCTAATATATTTCTACATAGTAGTATCTTATTTAATAACGTTATACTTTACGGAAAAGCTTGGTAGATTTAAGGAAATTCAATGTATCTCCTACGTTGGCATTAGAGGATAAACAACCTTTTAAATCACCAGCTATGTTGTGTGCTCTTCTAGCAGCTATGTATGATGGGCACTCGATCAGTATATGCTTCCAAGTAAGCAATTCATTACACGTCTCACACCTTGGTGGTGGATTACCTAAAAGTATGTGGGAATGTGTAAGAATTGTGTGACCTATTCTCATTCGCGTAATTACGACCTGCTCTCTACGAGTCAGATGGGGAAGATTCCATTTTGTTACGTTCGGCTTGATCGTCTTCAAAAAATGGTTTGTTGAGTTCCATTCTTGCTGCCATTCATTAAGTAGCTGCAACCTCATGAATTTTTTCACGTCTTCAGGCACGACTGGTATGTTGAGGTATTCTTCCATTGTGGCTTCCTTGGCAGCTGTATCTGCTATTTCATTTCCATGGATTCCTACGTGTGCTGGCGTCCACACATATATGACCTGTGATTTCTTCTGTTGGAGCTGGTAGGTGGTCAAGAGATCTCTTGAACTAAGGGGTTTTTACTGAATTTGTCAGAAATAGTTTGCAGTGAGCTCAAAGAGTCACTGCAGATTATGTATAAGCCCTGTTCCTCATCATCAATCAATTTTAGGGATTGAAGTATTGCGTATAATTCCGCTGAGAAAATTGAGGCCATTGGACTTAGGCGCCATTTGCGGGTTATCTCCGTAGTTGTTAATGCACATCCTATGCCCCCTTCGGTTTTAGACCCATCCGCATAAATTATTCTCCTTACGTTTTGGTATTTACCAATTATATCAAGAAATGTCTGTTTATAAATGTAGGATTGGTGTGGCCTTTTTTGTATTTGGCGCATTCGAAGTTAACTTCTGGGAGTGACAGCCTCCATACAGGGCAATCTATGTATTTAAGACTATAGGTTGGGGGCATCTGAGTTTCTAAATCCTCGAGTAGCTTATGGATGCGGGCACCTGCGGGCTTTGTGATGGATGGTCTAGACCGATAAATTGAAATTTCTTCTTCCTCAAATAATATATTGTGGTTAGGGTGCTGGGGTTGTGCCCATATTTTTACGCTATAGTTCAGTAGCAGCTGCTGTATTCTGTAGCTTAAGGGAGGTATGCCTGATTCACAAAAAACGGACGCATTCGGTGATGTCCGGAAGGCACCAATGCATAACCGTATACCCTCCTTGTGTATTCTCTCTAATCTACTTAGATGGGATTGTCTTGCTGCTGAGTATACTATTGCTCCATACTCAAACTTGGACATGACTATTGATTTATATAATGAGAGCAACACATCCCTGTCTGCTCCCCAACTGATGCTTGAGAGACATTTAATATATTTAAGGCCTTTTTACTTTTGATTACGAGTTCCTCTATATGATTCTTCCAGTATAATTTATCATCCAAGGTAATGCCTAATATGTTTATATGGTGTCTGTTAGCTATTGGTGTGCCTTTCAAAGTCAGAGCTGGTGGGTCATGATGTCTCCTTAGCCTGCAAAAATGTATGCATGCTGATTTCTGTGGAGAGAAGGAGAAACCCATTTTTTCGGCCTCGTAAGCTAATGTATTTATGGATGTCTGCAAAGTACCTACTATATCTTCCATTTTGTCTGCAGTAAAAAATATTGTTAAGTCGTCAACGTATATACATTTCCCGACTTCTATTGGCACTTTTTCGATTAGCTTATTTATAGCCACAAGAAAAAGGGTCACGCTTAGAGTTGAACCTTGGGGAATACCGTTCTCTTGTCTGTATGATGCTGAAAGTTCTTTTCCAATACGTACTTTAAAATACCTGTGTTCTAGGAAGCCTGCAATGAAACGTAGTATGTATCCTCTTATTCCCCATTCATGCAGTGTTTTCAGTACGCCAAACCGCCATGTAGTGTCATATGCTTTTTCAATGTCAAATGATACTGCTACTGTATGTTGCCTTTTAGCAAAGCTTTTTTGAATGGCTGCTTCCAGATAGACTAGCTGATCTGTTGTTGATCTATACCTACGAAAACCCATTTGATATTTTGACAATAATCCATGTTTCTCTAGGTACCATATAAGCCTTAAGTTTAACATTTTTTCTAGTATTTTACTTGGGCAGCATGTTAGAGATATGGGGCGGTAGTTATTGGGATCCTTACTGTCTTTACCAGCTTTCGGGATAGGAATGATGATTGCGTTTTGCCACTGTTTTGGGTAAGTACCTTCTATCAATATTTTGTTATATAGTTCTAGTAGTTTTTGTTTTTCACTTACAGGTAAGTGTTGTATCATTTCATAGTGTATAGTATCTGGACCAGGTGAAGAGCTTTTGACCTCAGCGAGTGCATACTCCAGTTCATCCAAAGTTACAGGAAGGTTATATTCAGATATATTTTCCTCGTCGAAGTCAATTCCCACTTCTTCTGCTTCATTTTTTTGTTGGAAAGTTGTCAGCATATCTTTCAGTCCCACTATTTATTTGAAATCGTTGTGCCAAAGTATTCAAGATTTCGTTCTTTTCGGATATTTCTTGGTTATTAACGATGAGAATAGAACTTGGTAGAGTTAATGATCTTCCACTTATAGCTCTTATCTTTGACCAAATTTCTGAAGTCGGGGTCTCAGAGGTTATTGAGGAAACATAATTTTTCCACGATGCTTTTTTGCTGTTGAGTAAAATTTTCCTCGCATTAGCTCTACATTTTTTGAAGCGTATAAGATTTTCTTGTGTAGGGTATCTTTTAAATATGTTAAGTGCATGGTGTTTTTCTTTCAATGCTCTTTCTAATCTATGATTCCACCAAGACACTCTGGGCTTTATATTAATGGGAGAGGTATAGCCTGAAACAGGGATACTCACTTTAGCAGCGTCCAAGATATTTTCGGTGAGCTGTTGCAAACAGATTCTTCGACAGATTCTTTTAAACTCAAGGGCTTTTGATGTTTTCTTGGAACTTACTCCAATTTGCCTTTTTAATTTGCCATTTTGGGGAGGAATAGAAGTTTGAACATCGGGTCGCCACATTTTATTCTAATAGGCAGATGATTTGAGAATTGATCGTCCATTGTTTCCCAAGTAAACAGATGTGCAATTCAGGACGGCAAACTGTTAGATCTATCGCGCTAAGTTTAAGAGAGCGGATATTAAGGAAGGTACCTGATCCTGAGTTCAAAACCACCAGGTTATATTCGTTGATGATATCTTCTATAAGGCGGCCTCGCATATCAAGTTTCTCTGATCCCAATAATGGGTTATGGGCGTTGAAGTCGCCCAGTATGACACAAGGTGTAGGCAACTGAAAAAAAGTTGCCGCATTTGTCTTGATTCCCAGCTGAAGTCTGGGAGATAGATGTTGCATATAGTTAGTTTAACTGGCTGGAAGATTTGTACTACGATTGCTTGCAATTGTGAGTCAACCATGATTTCATTAGATGGGATATCTTCTTTATAAGGGTCGCTACGCCGCCTTTGGCACGAATATTCCTAATGCCATTTTTCCTGTAACATGTATATCCACGTAGGTTTATGCTGTCTGACTCTGCTAGATGCGTTTCTTGAAGGCATGCACAAATTGGTTGCCTCATTTAACAGAAGTGATTTCAATTCTGGGTGGTGCGTTTTATATCCATTAATATTCCATTGCATATAGAACACATTGTGTGAAAAATAGTGTAACTATAAGTAAAAAGGTTGATATATTATATATATATGAGTATAAAAAGATATAAATATAACTATGTTAAAAAATATGGATAAAAAATGCATTTTGCAAAGTAATATCACAGAAGTCATCGTTACGTAATGCTAGTTGAGATCAATTACATCGGAAATAAATCGTCTTATCATCTGGAGGCTTTCTGGGTTTTTCCCTTCGGCCATCCCTTTTTTTTATTAGCAAGTGGGATGTTCCGCTGGCTTGTGACGAGAAAGCTTTCGTCAGTATCGTCTGCGGGATCATCCGCATTATCCTTTTGGATAACAGTAAGTTTCCTCTTTTCTGAAAGAGATGGTTGAGTAGACGTATCCGATAGGTATTGGTTAGGAGGAGGTAGATTTAAAGGTGTCATAGTCCGTACTGGTCTATTTACAAATTTATCAAAGGTTTGTTTAATCTGTGTTTCTATCGTTTTTGAAAGCAGAGGAAGAAGTTCTTCAACAAGTTTATTAACTGTAGCACTTGGGGTAGCGGTAACTTGAGCGTATGACACCCGGGGAGATGAGCTAATTACTTTCCTTTTTGCCTCCAGATAACTAATTTTTTCTAGCGTCCTCACTCTTTGGATGGCAACTTCTTCCTTCATCCGCGGACATTCTCTAGAATCAGCAGCATGCTGTCCTTCACAGTTGATACATTTCTTATGTTCATTGCACGGCTCTCCTGGGTGATTGGGTTGACCACAAGTACACATTTCGGTATTAGGACATTTCTGGGATGTATGACCAAATTTCTGGCATTTGAAACACCGCAAAGGGCTTGGGTAGTAAGGGCGAACATCAAGGTGGTAGAAGGCAGCTTTAATTTTATTAGGTAGATTGGGTCTATCAAAAGTGAGAATGAGATTTTTGGTTTTCTATAAGTTCCTCACCTCTTCTACGCATCATACGTTTTACGTCAATAACTCCTTCTGTTTTCAGGCCGTCCAATATTTCCTCCAAAGTGGAGTTCAAAAGATCAGCACAAGTAATAATTCCTTTGGAGTAATTAAGCGTGGAATGCGCTTTAACTACAACATTATATCTCCAACTCTTTGTGTTTGCAAAAGTCTGTTTGCCTGGGTTGCGGTACTGGTTTCCAACAGTAGCCCAGATTTGATTTTCTTTATTAATTTCAGGTTCCCAGCAATTCCAAATAATGTTCTTGACACAACAAAGGGGCTTACTTTATCAAAGTTACCCCCATCAATCCGTTCGACCACCAGAAACCGGGGGATGGTTCCCTCCTTTCTCTGGCTGGCCGTGGCCGCTTGCGCGGTAGCTTTCCCATTTCTGGGTGGGTTTTTGGTTTGTATTTCATCCATGCGAATTTCAAAATGCTTCACCTTCCCAGCTCCCCACCCGCCACGGAGTCCTCATTGGGGATGCCATGCCTGCAAACATAGTTCGGGACATGGACACCAGGGCTGCTGAAGGAAAGTATAGTCTTCGCATTGCGGTCCGGCATGGCCAAGGGTAGAAATAATCCACACCTGTCTGCTTTCTTCGCAATGCGAAGGCTCGCCCAGCCAGCCCTCTGACGGGATGGCACAGCCGATTGACCGACGCTGGGCTAGGCGCGGCCGCCCTTCTAGACTGACCGCCGGACCAAAGTGGCGTGTTGCCCCCCTGACTGGTAGGGCTCAACCACCAGGATTCCATTGGCCAGCTTACGGGTCGCCGGGCACGGCACAAACACCCGGGAGGCTAAGAGGAAGCCCCACGCGCCGCCTCAACGCATGGAGTAAGGAAAGGACAAGGAAAGTCGTGAGGGCAGCGGACAGCTGCACAGGATATAATAAAAGGAGAAGGATGGGAGAAAGGGGGAAGGAAAAGCCCAGGGTTTGGCAGAATGAATAAGACTACCAAACCCCGAACTCCCTGCCTGGGGCCGTGGGGGCGACGCTCCCCATGTATCTTCCCTTGAAACCGGATCAAAGATCCAGCTTCAAAAGTAGATACCCCCTGCGGGGTTATTATTATTATAATTATAATTATTATTATTTTACATTTATTATTATTATAACTATTATCATTGTTATTATAATTATATTATTATTATTATAAACTATTATTATTATTATAATTTTTATATACTAACTATTATTATTATTATATAATAATTATTATAATTATAATTATTATTATTATTATATTATTATAACTATTATATTATTATTATAATTATAATTATTATTACTATTATGATTGTTAATATTATTATTATGATTATTATTATTATTGTAATTATTATTATTATATTATAGTTATTATTATTATTATTGTTATTATGTTATTATTATTATTTATTATTATTATTATAATTATTATATCATTATTATTAGTATTATTATTATTATTATTATGATGATTATGATTATTATTATATTATTATATTATTCTTATTATTATAACTATTATTATTATTATTATTATTATGATTATTATTATTATAACTATCATTATTTGTTCATTGAATCATCTCCTCTGAGAGGGTTTGATATGCTTAATCCAGGTTTTGCACCAGAGGATGTAAGCATTTTGAAGGCAACTACCAATTTTGCAGGTTACAATGTCGAGTTTTCGCCTGCCAGGACCCTACGGACTGTCTGCATGTCCCCAGTAAAGCGGCTTTCTGAATTTTTTTTGTAAACATGTTGGTCAAGGTCTAACTTTTCAAGACTTGTGTGTAACTTCTTAAGGACCTCACCTGTTGCGCCAATAACTATCGGTACAATCGTAACTGTATTCATTCCCCACATCCGCTTTATTTCTTCTGACAGTGGTAGATACTTGTTGATTTTTTCTGAGTAGGTACCTTGAAGGTTGACAGGGAGCGGAACCGCGATATCTATAATGTATGTTATCTTTTGCTCTTTTAACGTTAGTACTATGTCAGGGATGTTATTTGGTACTGTGCGGTCTGTGATTATTTTCCTGTTCCAATACATTTTGTCGGACCCAGTCTCTTTAACTGGGAGGGGCGTGTAGCGATAGTATGGCTCAGTAGGTCCTTCATTATTATTATTATTTTATACTATTTTACTCCTCTGTCGAAGGTATTAATATTTCCCTCAGGCGGTTAGCCAAAGTAAGGAAATAGATCTGCAGCGGTCTTTTCACCGTATCCGGTTCTCATCTCCTAAAACCCTACGTACTGTCCTACATGTTCCCAGCAGTGCAGCTTTTTGCAGTTGCAAGTATATTTTTGGATGGAGCTGTAGCTTTTCCAGACTCTTGTGTAGTTTCCTTGGTATCTCTCCAGTAGCTCCTATTATAACTGGTATTATAGACACATTGCCCATTTCCCACATGCGTTTGATTTCGTCGGAGAGTGGCAAATACTTATTGATTTTTTCCGCATGGGTGGTTTGGATATTAGTAGGAAGAGGCACAGCTATGTCTATTATAAACGTCGTTCTTTCTTCTTTTAGTGTGAGCACTATGTCAGGAATATTGTTGGGGATGGGCCTGTCAGTTATGATTTTACGGTTCCAGTACAGCCTAGAGGTCTCCGTTTCTATCACAGGTGGCGGCGTGTATTTATAGTAGGGCTGTGTACCAGTTTCTCCTAGATGCTTTTTAGCCAAAGCTTGATAAAGTATTTTGGCCACATCATTGTGCCTTTCAAGATATTGTTTAGGAGCTAAGGGAGAGCCTGCTACAATATGATCTATGTGCTCATCTTTTTCCCCACATATGCGGCATCTGATATCGTCAACGTTCTCATGCATTATACGCTTTCGGTACAACTTTGTTGGGACTACCTGATCCTGGATGGAGGCTATGAAGCCCTCCGTCTCCAGGAACAGATTACCTGACTGCAACCATCCTTGGGAAGCCTTCGTGTCAATGGCGTTGTCTTCTATGCGGCTCCTATACCGACCATGTAGTGGTTTGGCTTTCCATTGGCGAACCAGATCCTGCATTGGGTTATCTTTGCCTCAGGGTCGAAAGATTTTTCTGAAGGTTTGTGGTGTCAACTTTTATCCGTCTGTGTTATTGCTTGATGCATTCTGCTGGATGTGGCTTTTGGAGGAAGTACTGGCGTAGATTGTCCCACTTGGCGGTGTGATGTAGTGTAGGTATGCAAGGTATTCCTCTGCCACCCTCACTTCGTGGTAGATGGAACCGCTCTGTGGAACTATGTGGGTGGTGTCCCCGGTGTTTACGGAATTCTCTTTCTGGTTTCCACATTAAGTGCGTTCAGTTCTGTATCCGTCCAGTTCAGTATGCCAAACGTATAGTAAGGACCGAAGTAGCGTAGGTGCTGACAGCAAGTGCTGTATTACGAGCTGACAGACTTGTTTTCAGCACCGCCCTCAAACGTGTTCTATAGTGCTCCATTGCCTTTTTTTTGCAGCTTCTGGTCTATGCCCGGCGCTTGTAGATAGCCTAAGTATTTATATGTTCATCTTGCTGCATTCCTTCAATTTTCCCTTGCACTTGGTTCGGCTCATATCCTGAATGTTTACTCCATGGCCTTTTACCATGCAACTGATCTTGCACTTGTCTAAGCCCAAACAGCATCTTGATGTCAGTGCTGAATTTACTTACACAGTCCAGAAGCTTATGAAGATGTTCTTTGGTTTCTGCAAAAAGTTTGAGGTCGTCCATGTACCAAAGATGTGAAATGCGTGTTTCATTGCCACCTAACAGTATTCCTTCTTTTGGCTATTTAGCATTGTTGTTAACGGTCTAAGCGCTAAGCAGAAACCATAGCGGACTTAAAGAGTCTCTTGAAATATTCCTCTCTTGATGGATACCTCTCCGGCACTGAATTGCGTATCTTGGGTGTTGAGATAGAGCCGTGTCTTCCAATTCGCCATAGCATGTGCCAGAAATTGTTTGATGTGGCATCGATCCCATAAAGGTCAAGCACCTCTAACAGCCAAGAGTGAGGTTATACTGTCAAACGCTTTCTGATAATCGATATATGCAATGTACAGGGTATTTTTTTCTTTTTGGCATAATTCGTTATGACAGAGTCTATAACAAGTTGCTCTTTACAGCCTCGAGAACCCTTTTCGGCAACCTTTTTGCTCTTCGTCTAGTATAGTATCCGCTCTAGGTGTGAATATATCTTCAGTAATTATAGCAGTCAATACCTTGTAAATGGTCGGCAGACAGGTGATTGGTCGGTATTTTGCCGGATCGTTCGAGTGATCGCCGCACTTTGGGATTAAATAGTTATTCCATGTTAAGAACTCTGGCAACATATCTGGTTTCTAAGATTGAGGTGTAACACTTTGCGAGTCGATCGTGAGCTGAAGTGAACGTTTTTAGCCAATAATTCTGAAGCTTATCTGATCCTGGGGCTTTCCAGTTTGGTAATTTTTCGTAGAGTATTTACCACGTCGACTAAGCTTACTTTCCAGTCGAGCATGGTCCTAAAAGTTGAATTATTTGCTTTCTCTTGGCGGTACCATTTAGATGTGGAATGATTGATTGGATTGCTCCAAATTCCTGACCAGAAGGTATTGATGGCATCTGAGGTAGGAATCTGAACGTTGTGTTCTGATCTGTATCCCTCCGTCGCGCCTGCAAGTCCTGTAAAAGCCTCGCTGATTGGTCTCGAATGCTCGATTTTGTTTCCGGCGTTCGTTGCTTTTCTTGTACCTTCGAAGTCGCAGTGCTGTAGCTGCTAGTTTTTGCTTCAGGTAGTCCAAGACTTCTACGGCTGTTGGGTTCTCCTCCGAGCAGTGACGGTTTATCACATTCTCTGCGGATCTCTTACTCTCAGACTACAGTCAGGCCTGCGGTACTGGTTGAGTATTGCTATGTCCTTTCTAATCTCCTCTATTACGCGATATCCTCATCTCCCAGGCTGGCAGTTTTCTGTTTTTCCTTACACATGTTCGCCAACTCTCTGTTCATTGAATTTTAGGACTGTAAGTGCTCCAATGTACAACAGGC